TAATTTTTGTAAGGGTTGTGATGTCCACATGTTTTTGTTGAAGAAACTATAGAGGCTGTAGCATTTCTATCGCAAAAAGTGGCCAAAAATGAAAGATTGAGTGATTATTTGAATTAGCCTAAATGTTTGGTTAATATTGAAAGACTCGTCCTGTAAGTGTAACAGCAGCTCCCTTTGTAATAATATGTAATGTACATAAATAGTTTATTTTGTATTAGCCTACATTATATATTTTAACAGTGTTATTCAATGAAACCATATAATTATTAATTAACCAATCATTATTGCCTCATTGTTTTATATAATGCATTTTAAATCACTTTAAAGGCTGCTGTTGGCTTAGGTCTGATTTTATAACCACAAAAAATATTATCTTAATACTTTTTTTGTAAACTATTATTTGAAGTAACAAAACCATGGTTAATTTGTGGTTACCATCCATGGCTACAAGAACCATGATTTTTGGTTTTATTCATTACCATGGCTAATTTTCGTAAGGGAATATGGAAACTCAGAGAGAATATTAGATGCGTTGTTGGTGGTTAAATTATTACCGACATTAAAACAGGTTATTAAGGTCAACAACCAAACAAATTTCACAGGATTATGAATGTACCTGAAAGTAATGCAGGGGCTTAATCTTTTTTTCCCTTTTCTTTTCTCGGCGCCGGATCGCTGATGTATTTTCACGGGCATAGTTTTCCATCAATTATGATATTTGCATTCACCCGCAAACATAAGGTGCGTGCGGTCGCGTGGACGAGGATGCGGGAATGGCGCATCAGGTGTGCTTAGCCTGTCTACTGCGTTCACCGTAAAATGCATTTTTATAATTAACTCAAACTGCATACTCTGTGTATAGGGAGCTGCAACAGTGTAGCCTACATACATTCTAAAGAATTTCCACCACATCTGAAAGTATTGTTTTTGATAGCATTAGATGCTGGAAATGACATTTTAGACATTTTTTTTTTAGAATATTTAGATTTTTTTTCACAAAACAACCGACTGATTTTGTTTTGTTATTTCATCTAGCGCTTTATGTCCTATTCTAAAAACACAAACTTAAAAATGTATCACACTTTTCGCGTAACTGAAAATTGCGCACACTGAAAACTCACTTAAAATATCTGCAAAAATATTTACCTTGATTTTCTTTGTTTTTTTACACATCATATGTCTCATTTTGATTTTAGCTTACACACTTCGCTGACACTGTTGTCTTGGTAAGCAAACACTAACTTTTTAAAATTCCCCATAGGCGAAAAAATGCTAAATTGTTTGTTGTGGTGGACGTGACGTCATAATTGAGGGACATTCGTAATTTATATAAAAAAATTTCCACACAATAAATATTACGTTTATTTTTTATTTCACCATTTTACTATATTTTTAAACAACAGTTCGCACCAACCAAGTATTTCACTTTTATTTTCAAATTTGCTTTCATTTGTATTCTAATATGTATGCCTACCTTGTCTATAAACAAGTAAAATAAATAAATACATTTAAAAACACATTATCAATAAGTTTTACTTTATGACTTGACTAATGTCAAGTGATGTAACCAAATAAATGTACAAAAATGCCAACATATTATTGTCAAGCAGAAGTTGTCAAATTCATAATTTGACCACTAACTAACTTTGTCAGATACTAATATACTAAAAATAATAATACATTTACACATTTATTTTCTAATTTGTCTTTTGTTATTTACTAAGATTTAATATTTATTAATATCACTAATTAATCATCTATTTCATTTGTTTATGGACAAGGCAGGCAACACATATGTGATTAAGTGAATAATACATCCCTTAACCCACACAAATTACAAAAATATATATTAATGACAACACAGGATTTGTTTCTTCAGACATGCGGTCATAGACTGAAACGACTTGATTAAACTGGTTTCTCGGTGGTTAACTCCCGTGTGGTTGTGGTGTAATGCTGAACTATTACAAGCAGTTGTTCCTCAAACGTAACTCTTGTAGACAAAAGCGTGTTTAAAGGGTTTAGGATGATACATCCTTTGTTTTTGAATAAAATATGCATGTTTCCAATTATTCTGTCTGCAAATGTATTGATATTTGAACTTTTTACACGTATGAATGATCAAAGAATATATAAGTATCAAAGAAATGTAATGCATTATCAAATGCAAAACATATTTTTTCAAATGATTCACCCAATTTACACCCATATCTGAGGTGGGCTCACATCTCCTGGTTTTACCTTATCAGGGCACTCAGAGGCTCTGATCTTCATTTCTGCATGGGCATCATTAGTGATGTGACCGTCCCTGGAGACCCAGTCATCTGCAGGCCTCACTGGACAGCACCCAGGAGACCTGACCCTCAATTACCAAATCAAATACCATAAACAGCAGCAGATGCCTATGGAATGATATCAGTGAATGTCTTAAATGTGTTTGAGAGAGAGAGAGGGGGGTCCATATGCACACTAGCTGCTGACTCTGTGTACTTCTGAGGGCGGATTGAATGTTTGTGTGTATCTGAGCTGCTTGAGGTGTATGATCTTACCCTGTCTAGGAGCTGAACTTAAAATGACCTTCACATAAAACATCTCACATATACATGACCTTTAAAATGTTTCATAACAGTAACCCCTATCCAAACACATTTCTAGGAATTTAAAATCTGATCACAGATCAGCTGTTTATGCTTGGATGGAGGTTTCTGATATGTTCTGGAAAGGGAAATTAGCTTTCTATTGTTATTCTCATTTCAGACGGTCAGTAAGGAGGACCAGCATGAAGGACTAGTTGATACTAAGAAACTTAGGATAAATAAATACATCTAGTTAAAGTCCCCATGAAATCAAAATTGAAGTGTTTTGGCTTTTAGTATTAATATGTTAGCCTTAAGGTTATCTACAGGTGCATCTCAATAAATTAGAACGTCGTGGAAAAGTTCATTTATTTCAGCAATTCAACTCAAATTGTGAAACTTGTGTATTAAATAAATTCAATGCACACTGACTGAAGTAGTTTATGTCTTTGGTTCTTTTAATTGTGATGATTTTGGCTCACATTTAACAAAAACCCACCAATTCACTATCTCAACAAATTAGAATATGGTGACATGCCAATCAGCTTCCATACCACCTCAGCAGTGCCACAAACTGATCACCTCCATGCCATGCCGAATTGAGGCAGTAATTAAAGCAAAAGGAGCCCCTACCAAGTATTGAGTACATGTACAGTAAATGAACATACTTTTCAGAAGGCCAACAATTCACTAAAAATGTTTTTTTTTATTGGTCTTATGAAGTATTCTAATTTGTTGAGATACTGAATTGGTGGGTTTTTGTTAAATGTGAGCCAAAATCATCACAATTAAAAGAACCAAAGACTTAAACTACTTAAGTCTGTGTGCACTGAATTTATTTAATACACGAGTTTCACAATTTGAGTTGAATTACTGAAATAAATAAACTTTTCCACGACATTCTAATTTATTGAGATGCACCTGTATTATGGAGGACCAAACCTGCAGTTATAAAAAAAAAAATAATAATTATAATTATATATAATTATTAATTTGGGTAATAAAATCTATATATTATAATTCATTCTACAAACTAAAGACATTTGAGTGAGATTGTTATTTTCTTACTTAATTTCTTAAATATATTCAATGCATTTATTAAAAATACATTTTTAAATTTGGGAGAACTGAACAAGTAATAACAATAATAATAAAAATAATTGAACTAACTTTGTGTTTGTGTGTTTATATGAATGGCATCAAGCAGGTTCATAGGCATTTAGAATAAACAAAGAAACATTGCAACAACTTTTTGAAGTTTTTTTTTTTATAAAATCTGCACACAATTGCATTTAGTACATTAAAATATAAAAGTATATATAGAAGATTTCAAAGAAATAACCGAGTCAAGAAAACAAAACATAAGTTTTCTCATTGTCATCAACAACGTAAAAGAAATAGGAAAGACAGAAAAGTTCGGAACGCTTCAAATAAACAAGGCCTCAATGTGGGGTTGCTGTGGAAACCGCAAGCAGTGTGAAATTAAATCCACCTTTGCATATAAAGAAAATAACAGAAGGCGTCCAAGTCAAAAGAAAAGAACTTAAGGTGATCAGTATTTAACGCACTGGTTTCTCCTTCATTTGATGTGTTCTCTGACTAGCGTTCAGAGGCAGTACCAGAGAGGGTGATGATGGGGTAACTGTGTCAGTTGTGCAGGAGACCAGCTAATCCCCATGGCAACTGCTATCACCTGTCTCCAGGTGTGGGTTGTCGGCACCCTTTAATCACATGACCCACAGTAAGGCCACACCCGGGCAACGGGTCTGTGAGTCAGCGGCCAGTCTGAGCACAACACGCAAAAAAAGCTTCTTAAAAAAACGAAAGCAGAAAGAGTACAAGTGAATGGGGGGGGGTAAACAGTTATTTTCTTTAAGCAGTTGTTCTGATACATTGTTCTTTTTTTGGCACAGTCTACTTGGGCTGTGGTGTGGAACCTCAGCCTGATCCTTCATCTGATACATCCAACATGCTTGAGTTCATTTGGACAGGGATTTCTTAATCTGCTCCACTTCCATCTAAAACAGACAATAAAACAAAGATGCGGCCAGTTAAACACAGTCACAGGAAATAGAAATGAAATAAAACATACTTAACATTATGTCAGCAAGACTGTTTGATGTTCAAGAATCAAGAGGCCAGGACTAAATTGATTTGATCAAATGATACAGTAAAAGCAACAATATTATGAAATATTTTTTCATTTTAAAATGTTTTTTTATTTTAATATATTTTAAAATGTAATTTATTTCTGTGATGCAAAGCTGAATTTTCAGCAGCCTTCAGTGTCACATGATCCTTCAGAAATCATTCTAATTTGCTGATCTGGTGCTCAAGAAACATTTTTTAATTATTATTATCAATGTTTAAAACAGTAGTGCTGCGATTTTTTTTGTGAAAACCGAGATACATTTTTTTCAGGATTTTGTAATGAAGACCAAAAGAAAAGCATTTATTTGAAAATTTTTGTAAACTATGTAAAAAAATTAAAAATAAGTAAAACATCTTTACTGTCACTTTTGAACCTTGCAATGTGCCTTTACTGAATGAAAGTATTTATTTATATATTTAAAAAACAAAAACAAAAAAAAACTCCAATCCAATCTTTTGAATGGTAGAGTAAGTTTTTGTAAGGTAGTGTAAGAATTATTTTTTTAAATATTAACAAAACTGATGAATTTAAATGACTTGCATTACTTACTAAAAATGTTGTAAAATATTTGAAAACAGAAAATACAGTTAGAAGTTCAGCATGTCTTAATATCTTAACATGAAATAATGAAACAATAAATAACATTAAAATGATAAACAAATATATTAAATGAAAAAAAAAATAATGAAATTTATTATAATACCTTTTTTTAAATAATAATAATACATTTTGTTTTAATCACTATAAAATGGTGTTGCACCTGGTTAGGGCTACGTTTATGACTAGTATAATGTCTCCTCACCTGCAGTGATATACGAATCCTCTTCTCCTCATCCAGTTCGCTCACCAGCTGTTTGATTTCTTGTCTGAGAAAACAAATTTCAGAATTACACGCATTTCACAGACATCAATCAATCAACTCGTTCTTCCCACATCGAATTTACACCACTTCTTGACAATTTCTTTTCCCTTTTTCACTACTTCACTCTGTCTGTCTTTCATCTAACCCACAGTCCCGACCCCATCCCGCCGGTTCATACTTGTGCTGGCTCTTCATGAGCTCCACAGTTCCTTTCAGGTCTCGTAATTGTGCTCTGAGCTCCTCCAGCGTGGAGGTACCCTGTTCGTTCTTCACTCTGGCATCAACCGAAGGGGAATGGGGCCGCAGACCAGCGCTGCCCTGGTGGAGAGAAGCCCCACTGGACCCAGAAGATGATGGAGGGGCACTGGGCTTAGGGGGCAAAGATGATTTTTCAGGAGCCTGTGGAAAACCCCCATGAGATATCAGAACAAGAGCTTATCAAACACATTTACTCTCAGATGTTTGTCTTCCATTTCAGGCCGTTCCACAGGGCCTCAGTCTCTGTGTGTGTTTGTGTATGAGAGTATATACAGTGCAAGTATTTGGACACTTAAAGGAATAGTTCACCCAAAAATGTAAACTCTTAACATTATTTAGTCGTCCTCACGTCATTCCAAATCTGTATGACATTTGTTGTACTGTGGAACACAAAATAATATATTTTGAAGAACTGTTGTCCATACATTGAAAGTCAACGGGGTCCAAAACAAAACAGAGTGCTGCAGGGATGACATATTTTTTAGGCCAAAACCCGAGCACTTCTGGTTTCATCGTCCCAAAGTCAATGGGGTTTTTTTTATTGGGTTTTTGGTTAAATGAGACTACAGATGTTGTTGGGGACATTAAACATCATCATGCAGAACAAGGTAAACTCATCTGTACTCTAGTTCGCTTTTACAGCCTACAGTTTATAATCACACTCTTAACAATTCTAACTCAAACTTTCAGGGAAAATGCTTTTTAAATAAAGATCGAAAGAGTTGTAGGAAACTTAATGGTGGTGACATTGAAAACATGCGAACATGCAGCACTTTATTGGACCCCATTGACTTTTAATGTATGGACAAATAAAGCTTTTTTTTATTTATTTACTCCTTGTTCCACAGAATAAAGTATGTCATACAAGATTGGAATAAAAGATGACAAACTTTTCATTTTTGGGTGACCTATCCTGAAAATGTAAGAATACCTTTACATTATATAACATATATTTAAAAATAAAGTGTGACTTAAGTATCCAAAAGTAATACTTTTTTGTGTCACTGTACATACAATGCTTGACTAGGGCGCTCCCTTGTGGTAGGACAGGGATGTGCATGCAAAAGGAGGGGAGGGTGTCAGGGGATGGGGTGACTGGGAGGGGGTGGGGCTTACTGTTATGACTGGCACTGCCTTGGGCATCTTCTTGGAGTTGTCAAGAGTTTTGGGAGTGAATGAGTCCTGCTCCTCCTTTCCCATCTCCTTGTCTCTCCTCTCCTCCTCTGGAGATGGGGAGTCCAGGAGGTCAGGACTAGAGAGAGAGAACTAAGAAGGAGAGAGATTTTTAAATGATTGTGACCAGATAACCCACAGACAGGCGAAGAAGGGTAAGCCCATGTGACATTCACACATAGCAAATAGCACAATCATATCTGACGGATTAACGTTGAACACCTGAAGGCTCACAAATATATGACATGTCGTCAGCTGATTGCATCTGATAGGTGTGAAAACAACCAAACGTGATTGACTTGACACATTAAATGGTTAAAACTAATAACAAACCAGCATGTTTATGTTGTGTGGTAGGGTTATTATAGTTAACTAAAACCATAAAAAAACATTTTTGTTACTTGAAATAAAATAAAAATGAACTGAAATAAAGATTTAAAAAGCTGTTGACAAAGCAATGCTTCGTATTTTCTTTTAGTTTAACTTAATGTACTAAAACAACTAAAACTAAAATAATAAATAATATTAAATAATAATTTAAATAATAATAATATTTATTAATTAATATAAAAAATAATAAATATATAACACCTATGTCTATTTTTTAATATAGACATAAAAAAATGCCAGAAATACAACAAAATTATGAAATCTTTAAATATATATATATAATAGTATCTCTACTAATATAACACTGGTGGACTCACAGATGTGAAGATCTGCGATCGTGGCCGTCGGTCCGTCACACGGGGCCGTGACGTGGTCGGGTGGTTCAGCTTCTCTGTGGATAAGACGATGGAGTCGAAGTCTTCTACATCTTCAGCCAAGCGTCACACAAATACAAACATAAACACACAGGACCACATATATATATCACATGCATATGAATCACGAACACAGGAAAAAACACGTAATCGTAGACCGTAATCGCACATCTCCAGGAATGGAAGTGAATGAAGTGAGATGGACAGACAGCTGTTGTAATCGGATTAGATATGGATTATTATAAATCTTATTAGTCATGACAGTGTTATTCTGGATTGAAGGGCAGCTCTGGACAGAGACTCACCGATATCTACGGATTTGTCTGCAGAGCCTCGGTCAGCTGCCACACCACTGCCGTCAGACTTTGGACTGTCACACCTGTACAAAAGAGATTTAAACCAGAATGAGCTTAATTAAAACATGAAAATAGAGCAAATGTACTGAGAAATAATTTGATATGAGATGGAGAGGATTTCTAATATGTAGAACTGAAAGTCTGATTCATTCTAGTGAAAAGGTTTATTCAGATGGTTTTAAATGAATCTAGTCAAAACTTAAATAATTCACTGATTCATTAAAATCACTGCAAAGTTGTTTTGATTGTTCTAAATAAATCCATTGAAAAATTAAATTATTTGCTTATTCATTGCACAGAAGTTGTTTAATTCAGTTCCAAATTAACCCATTCAAAAAACTAAATGACTAACTGATTCATTGGAATCACTGCATAGAAATTTCTTGAATGGTTCTAAATGAATCGGTTGAGAAAACAAAATGATTCACTGACTCACTGGCATTTACTGCACAAATGATGTTCAGATGATTCTAAATGAATCCGTTCAAAAACAAAATGATTCACCGATTCATTGGCATTTACTACACAAATGATGTTCAGATGATTCTAAATGAATCCATTCAAAAACAAAATGATTCACCGATTCATTGGCATTTACTACACAAATGATGTTCAGATGATTCTAAATGAATCCATTCAAAAACAAAATGATTCACTTACTCACTGGAATCACTGCACAGAAGTTGTTTGGATGATTCTAAATGCATTCATTCCAAAATTAAATTATGTCACTGTTTTGCGATTCAGTCATGTAAAATAGGTTGTTTATTATTTATTATCTGTTAAAAGTCTGTTTGTCACACTAATTGAGATCCTCTTTTTTGTGCCAGATAAATTCTGTTCTGTATTTATCTATAAAAATGAATGATATCATCTGATACTTAGATAAGATATCATGATGCATCACTGTTTATTTAATCATGACTTATGTATAATGATGTGATCATATTATGAGTTAATTCTCCATCACTACAACACTGCTATCTCAATCACCCTGCTATTATTAGTCATTTTAGAAATGAATCATAGCTGTAAAATGCACTTTTGAAGAGAAATCACTAGGGGTCAATATAAAGTTCACAATCATTGTTGTATCAACCAGAACACTCAAAAAAGACATAATTCACCATTATTATAGATACTTTATATTTTTTATAGGTGTATATAATGGGCTGAGTTGTTACTTTGCAAATGTGTGTGTTCCGTGATCTAGTATTAGTGATGCTGATTCATGTGTGTTTGTGTGTGAGACTGACGGTATATTGGGCACAGCTGGTCTCTCAGGTCTGTCTGGGCGTTTGGGTGGTAGCGATGACGGTCGATTCAATGAGTTGTTGTTCTTTGGGGGGAGAGGCTTCTTTGGGAGGGCAGCTGGGAAGGACGGCTTTGCAGTCTCACCCAGCTTCGACTCCTCGCCTACATGTAATCATCATCATCATTAAAGGGCATAAAAAGTCATACAAGTTTGTTTACAGGAAACTAAGAGAGGGTTTGTCAAAGCAGAGAGGGAAAATGTTATTCCAACATGTGTTTACTTCAGAGAAACAAGAAGTCTTTGAAAACACACAAGCAGTAAGCCAATCTAAATCTTTCAGAGAAAGGCAGCACAGAGCTGTAGGTTTTGCTGTAGAAGGTCAAAGTCACAGAATTAGAGTTGACCAAAGCAAATTAAAACAGATGAGAGAGACGTTACCTACCTTTTTCCTCAGCTCTGTGTGGGAGAGATTCAGGCCGTTCTGGTGGAACCCTTTTAGCCTCTGTCTTTTTGTCTGGGGATCAATACACAAAATATGAGGGTTCAACAGGGAACAGCTGACTCATTGCCAAGCTTTCAGTTAAAGTGACACAGAAACATGTCAAAACCTATAGGGTATGAGTATGGTACCACACTGAACATCTGGGTTTCAAAATCCAATTTAAACCCAGACATTTTGAAAAATTGTAAAACAAACATGATATAAAATGAAGAAAAACACTGCACTTTTCTGCACTATTTATAGGTCACTAATTAAATTATTATTTATTTATTAAACAAATTAAAACACTGATCAAGTGACTCTTAGTACAGACAATCAGGTGTTCTTGCTGATATTTTTTGGATCATCTTAAATCATGCTGGAGAATATAATCAGAGGTTTTACAACTTGAAAAAAAAAGTTTGTTGCAGCTTGAGTATTTATTATATTATATTATATTATATTATAAGACTTATAGACAGATAGACTTATCGTTCTCCACAAGTTGGAGCCAGAATTCACTTGAAGAGACATGATTATTTATAATAATATAATATAATATAATGATTTTTTAAACCTGTTTTAAATTGGAATGCTATATTGTATTTATATAACTTCATATGACCTTGTTGCATGTTTAATTTAGTGACACAAATGATTATTCAATCCTTGATTCCATTTGTCATACTGGAAATGGAAGGTCAAGTCTAGAGTTTTGCATTGTGGGATACAATACTTTGACTGCATGCTACACATTTTAACATATGTAGCAAATCATTTGGCTAGTCATACTCAAAAATGGTACATGTAGTATGGTAGCATCAGTTTGAACAAGACCCCCGCTGTCATTTTCAGGTGATTAAACCTGATTGTGAATGTTCATACATCGACATATGTAAACAAATTGAGCAGAAACACAGTCACAGATGGGCATGTAAGCGTACATAGTGAGAAGAAATAAAGAAAAAAATGCAGAAAGGAAAGAAGAGGAGTTTGTTACCTGTGATCTGTTTAGTGGTTGGTGCTGCAGGTGGAGGAGGTTTCTTAGGTCTCTGTAAGCACACACACAGTTTAAACACACAGTACACAGTTAAAACACCCACATGGATTCATACACATTTGTCCTTTTAAAAACACAATCCCTTCAGGCCAAACAGCACTAAAACATCAAAGGACATGCTGCTACATCAGGCAAAGGGTGAAGAGGGAGGCAAAGGTACAGGGCAGAGGGGAGCATGTGTGTGTGTGTGTGTGTGTGTATTTCACCACAGCTCTGCCTTCTCTCAGAGACTGAGGCCCGCTGTCATACAGGACGGGAGCTCCCCGTTGGAAACAGCTGAAGTGTGTCAGTGAGAAACAAACAAGAAGATCTCACCTCTTTTTCTACCTCAGGAATGAATAACTTCACAAAGTTGTCTGGAAACACTCCCTGTTTGCCGTTCAGCTCTCCAAGCCACCAACCAGTGTCTGCACAGTCCTACACACAGCGAAAACACATATTAGTCTATTTGTGTTCTAAAGAGGCCAAACGCCAATTAGAATATTTGATGTATAATATACTGTTAAGTTATCTGGAGAGGAATTTTGGACCAAAAAAAATTAATAAAATATAGTTATTTATTAGCTCACTTTATTGATTTTTTGCACAATTTTGAGGTGTATTCACCAAACTCACCTTATTGATAACCGTTACGATATCTCCCTCTTTGATTGACAGCTCATCATCGTTCTGAGCTTCGTACGGGAAAATTACTTTGCAAAGCTCCTTTGCTGTAATTTGAATTTTCACAGTCACAAGTCACATCAAGAAACAATTATGTTGTATTTGCATACAATTTGAGTACATAAACAACTTGAGCATTTAAATAATCCACAGCACAGGTGTGATCTAATCCTGTTACCTTTGGCCTTGTTCTCAGGCTCCGCCTTCATGGTTTCCTGGGCAACAGCTAGAGCGACTTTCTTCACCATTGGAGGCTGAGGAGAATCAAATACTTATATTAAATACTGTAATAATTTATAAATGCTAACGTTCAAAGTTTAGGGTCGGTAAGATAAAAAAAATACATAAGGTAATATAACATTTTTTTTTTGTAATATTGTGAAATATTTACTGTTTATTGTAATATATTTCAAAATGTAATTTATTCCTTGAATGCAAATCTGAATTTTCAGCATCATATCATTGTCACATGATTCTTCAGAAATCATTCTAATATGCTGATTTGCTGCTCAAAAAACATTTCTTATTATCAATGTTGAAAATAGTTCAACTTCATATTTTTGTGGAACAGAATAGATTCTTTAGTGAATAGAAAGTTCAATAGAGCAGTATTTATTTGAAACAGAAATCTTTTGTAATGTTTTAAATGTCTTTACTGTCACTTTTGATAAATTGCATGCGTCCTTGCTAAATAAAAGTATATTTATTAAAAAAAAAAATCTTACTGACCTTAAACTTTTGAACAGTAGTGTAAAAGAAATATAAAAACATAAATTTATATCATCCATAATTTATATTTATATCAGACATTTATATCATACATAATATGTAACACTTTACAATAAGGTTCCATTAGTTAATGCTAGTTAATGTATTAAAGGGGTCATATGATGCTTTTTTAAAGATCATTATTTTGTGTATTTGGTGTAACAGAATATGTAGCTCCCCGTTGGAAACAGCTGAAGTGTGTCAGTGAGAAACAAACAAGAAGATCTCACCTCTTTTTCTACCTCAGGAATGAATAACTTCACAAAGTTGTCTGGAAACACTCCCTGTTTGCCGTTCAGCTCTCCAAGCCACCAACCAGTGTCTGCACAGTCCTACACACAGCGAAAACACATATTAGTCTATTTGTGTTCTAAAGAGGCCAAACGCCAATTAGAATATTTGATGTATAATATACTGTTAAGTTATCTGGAGAGGAATTTTGGACCAAAAAAAATTAATAAAATATAGTTATTTATTAGCTCACTTTATTGATTTTTTGCACAATTTTGAGGTGTATTCACCAAACTCACCTTATTGATAACCGTTACGATATCTCCCTCTTTGATTGACAGCTCATCATCGTTCTGAGCTTCGTACGGGAAAATTACTTTGCAAAGCTCCTTTGCTGTAATTTGAATTTTCACAGTCACAAGTCACATCAAGAAACAATTATGTTGTATTTGCATACAATTTGAGTACATAAACAACTTGAGCATTTAAATAATCCACAGCACAGGTGTGATCTAATCCTGTTACCTTTGGCCTTGTTCTCAGGCTCCGCCTTCATGGTTTCCTGGGCAACAGCTAGAGCGACTTTCTTCACCATTGGAGGCTGAGGAGAATCAAATACTTATATTAAATACTGTAATAATTTATAAATGCTAACGTTCAAAGTTTAGGGTCGGTAAGATAAAAAAAATACATAAGGTAATATAACATTTTTTTTTTGTAATATTGTGAAATATTTACTGTTTATTGTAATATATTTCAAAATGTAATTTATTCCTTGAATGCAAATCTGAATTTTCAGCATCATATCATTGTCACATGATTCTTCAGAAATCATTCTAATATGCTGATTTGCTGCTCAAAAAACATTTCTTATTATCAATGTTGAAAATAGTTCAACTTCATATTTTTGTGGAACAGAATAGATTCTTTAGTGAATAGAAAGTTCAATAGAGCAGTATTTATTTGAAACAGAAATCTTTTGTAATGTTTTAAATGTCTTTACTGTCACTTTTGATAAATTGCATGCGTCCTTGCTAAATAAAAGTATATTTATTAAAAAAAAAAATCTTACTGACCTTAAACTTTTGAACAGTAGTGTAAAAGAAATATAAAAACATAAATTTATATCATCCATAATTTATATTTATATCAGACATTTATATCATACATAATATGTAACACTTTACAATAAGGTTCCATTAGTTAATGCTAGTTAATGTATTAAAGGGGTCATATGATGCTTTTTTAAAGATCATTATTTTAATAAACAAATACTTGTTTGTTACTCATAAAATCACACACACACACGCACGCGAGCACACACACACACACACACACACACACACACATTACAAATGTATATATTTTATACATTTATAAAAATGTTTAAATTATAAACATAAATATATTAAAAAGTAATTTCATATCAATTTCAATTCATATTAAAAATAATAATGCTGTTGATAATTAATGGTCATCACTGAGGGTAACTAGGAACATTGACCCCAACCCTGGCGGCACTATTTCCTCCAACAGTCTTGCAAAAACTGATGCATTTATTTGATAATAATCTGCAATCATTTATAGTATTAGTTAAAAGATGCTGTGCGTTTCTGTGGCCATAAAAAGCTGTCAGGGGCCCAGTGAATTCAAACATACGTGTGTGAATAGCATTCTGTCCATTTGGCTCTGTTTATCTGGCCTCTTTCCGGCAGGGGAGCCACAGTCCTTCCACAAACATGGCAGGGAATCAATCCAACCCGACACACAGCTCTTTTAACATCCTGCACTCCCAATGTGGCCTTAACACACACACACACACACACATTTGCTGTGTTCGGTGAGGGAGAAAAAAACTCTTCCTCCTTCTCCCTCTCTTCCTTTTCCTCTCATTTAGAGCAGTCATGATGGAGTCAGACTAACAAGCACCATGTGGCAGCCAAATGTTTAAACGACATAATAGGAACATCATTAAAACATCTTGCTGCACTGCTGTTCTCAAAGGCCTCATGTCATCTCTTTGAAGTCCCTACGGTGACTTCCATGCCCAGAACACCCATAATGCCCTGTCTCGAAGCCCAAATTACCGCCACATGAAACAAAACGCATCTCGGTCATCGTATTTAACAGCTCACTTCTAGCCACAGTTTCACATCATTAACATAGAAAGATGAATAGATCAAGAGAGAGATGCTGATAAAAATAGCTAATTTCATATTTACCTTTTCGCAAAATGACAAAACAATCCTTCAGAAATGGCTGGTGTAGACACCTACATCTGCGTGCGCAAGTCCTGCCTGCAACAGGAACCTCCAAGCTTTCAGTCTAACTGCGGTTCACTCCCCCCTGAGTCATGACAGTCTCTTACAGTCTTACAAGCCCTACTTCTGCTTTAAAACAGCTCTGAAGTCAGGAAACCACTCAGAGAGAGAGAGGAAGAGAGGAGGAGAGGGGTGGATATGGAAAGAGAGCCGTGTCAGGGAGTGGTAAATTTGTATATGGGTAAACCTACAGCTTGTAAGCGACACTGGATTTCCATATTCCATTGATTACTTGCCTTGCAAAGCAGAAAATTGTCTCTGTATGCAACAGGTGGAAGAGTTAAGCACTGGAATATATAATACTAGATATCCAGAGACAATATAGAGAGATTTCCTTTTCTTTCGGAATAAACAAAGTGAGGCTGAGAGACACAAAGTGCGGAAGACGTTCAATAAGAACCTCTTTGATAATGACTTCCTTTCTAAGTGACCAAAGGTACCAGATGAGCTATTTGTGTGCGATCTTCGTCCACACACGCACGCACGCACGCACGCACGCGCACACACACACACACACCAGCACAAATGTTATATTTAAAATGGATTACTTGCCTACTGCATACTGCCAACTATTTCTTTAAATAACAAAATGCAACTATAAACATATTTAAAGAGTATTAAGTCACATTGTTCTCACATGACTTCATCAGTTTGCATGTTTAATTTACATAAATATGACTATTTTGCACTTTTGTTAATTTTTGGCAGTTTAAGAAAATAAAGAGTAAAAAAAGATGCTGATATTACACCTGTATTCATTATCACAGGAAATCAAGTTGAACACATTGCATCATGGGTACAATAATGAGGGTACTGTACACAGTTTTAAACCAAAACATATTTATTTTAGATATTTATATAAATAATTTTTTGAAAGGAATACTTTTATATTTAAAATGCAACTAAAATTTATTTAAAAATAAAATGTAAAACTAAAATCAAGTGAATTTATGCCCCACAACATTATAATGTTCAGTATGCAAAATTGATATTCATTTTTATATTTGCTAAATATTACATTTAACAGTGTTAATAAATTATTTGTGTTTTTAAAGATTCACATTAAGTGATAGATGATGGCAGGTAATCTAAATGTAAAAATAGGGGAAATAAGCATGCATAATTAAATATCCAAAACTGAGCAATACATATGAGTTTAAAGAACTCAATAACCGATAATGTAACAATATTTTGTGCATTCTTAAAGTATGCATACAGATAATTCACATGTGGTACCTTCTGTGTACTGCAGAAATAGGCCACTCCACCCAAATATAAAAGCTGCTGTCAGTTAATGAAGGATGAACTTGCGCCTCGATTGGACTCTTGTCGTGTCAGAAACTTATAAGACATCAGTTTTATGGATGTCGCCATCTTTAATATTACTTTGGTCACTGTCGCTATGGTAACTGGTAAGGAATACGGGCTTGACTCCCGTTGCACGTTCATACAGACAGTATCCTAGAAGCTACTGTAAGTTGCTGTGTGAACGGGACATTTCGAGGCTCACACCTGTAAGTAAATGCAGTTGTCAATCCCAAAAACTGACAGTGTGAATGTAGCCACAGTAGGGCTGGGCGATTTTCAGATTTTATAGATTAATTCGAATTTAATGTTTTGCCATGATTTTATTTTTTATAAATCGACGAATCACGATTTTGAATAGAAATATTACCAAACGTTAGAATTAGACTCGTTGACAATATGCTAACGTTAACAGTAAAGAGAAAAGAATGATCCAACCGCATGTCGGCACACGTGATTTAACCGCTCACGTGTGACGCGCTCTGTGAAGGACATAAGGTGCCATTCACACAGAATGTGCTTTTGTGTTAACAAAGATGCGACGCGGGCAGTGGAATAGGAAACAATGCAGAAATATGGGAGTTGAACTTCTTTTAACTTGAGCGCCGCATTTTTAGAATGCCATTTCATGCACGAGACACTGCAAGAGACGCGAGTGCAACAGTCACATAGAAAAAACTAAAAAGCAGCGCAATCCAAAAACCTGTAAATAACTAGTACTGTATGTCTGAAATTTCATGTTTGCATCATGGTGACAGGCTGTTCATTGTTCATTGTTTTTACAGAACATTTATAGTTAATAATAATAGTCTACTGGTGTTATACCTTTAGTCGATTTGAATTTGAATTACCTTGACTTTTGAGATTTTTTTAAAAGCATTTTCCTTGTATTATTTCTAATCATATAATATGTATAAGACAAGTTTGTACAAGATGTAGTTGTAGTTCATGCATCTTTTTTGCAAAGATATTTAACAAGTGATTTGTTTAACATTTACATCATGTTGACAAATTCATGTGTGGTGCACTTGAAATAGAAATTTCTTTAATTAGAGGGTTAATAAAGAAAAAGTTACTTGAATTATGTTGTAGTGACATTTTCAAGTCGACTAGTTAAAAAAACGTAAAAATCGAGAATCGGTTAAAGTTCTGAAAAAAAAAAATCAAGATTTTATTTTTTTCCCATATCGCCCAGCCATAAGCAATAGTATGCACAGTATGCTACCTTGCTATTTCACACATAGCTATTGACTTCCTAACCACACTGTCTCACACCTCTGAGCAAGAACTCCAGAAAGAAACACACACACACACGCACACACACACACACACCAAATACAAAGTTTGCACAATAACACAAACCCCCCAAAAATCAACAAAATGATGTTTGAAAAATAAATGAAAGACTTTACATGTGGGACTAATAATGAGAGCCAACATTGGATATAGAAAAGGAGGCAATGAGCAAAGGGATGCTTGCTGCTCTCAGTGGGACAGGAAGACGGGAAGGTTTTAATGAGCAAGAGACTGTGGGGCCGAAGGCAGAGTAAATGCAGGGGACCAAGCTAGACAAGGTCTGACTGTAATTACAGAGTCGTAAAATCAGAGAAACGCATATACACTTTTCTTTTGCTTCATTAAAATACAGAGACAAACTCACCTTCTCTGCCTCACTGTCCATGTCCAGAGATCGTGGGCGGAGCTTGATGGGCTGGTCTTTGAAGATGTCCCCGAAGCCGAACCCCCGAACCTTTTTGGGCTGAATCTCAGACCTGGAGGACACACTGCCAGTGTCAGACCTTAAACTACTGGAGTCGCCGCCATCACTCTCTGAGCCGGTGCTGTCCTTTATGCCTGCAGATACACAAACACGTTTCAAATGAGGATTCAAGTATTTGCATGCAGCTTTGCATGCAGCATTCTTCACAGCTGAACTGTTAAGAGTCGATCTGTCCAGGGATCCTCGTCGAGAGTGCTGTGTAGGGTTGTCAAAATTGCAAAATCTCAGTAGGTCAGTGATAAATTATTGGGACCATTAGCATATTAATTTTAGCTGTGACATTGAAAGTGACTTTGTGAAATGTTTCTGGTATTGGTATTATATGTGAACATTTACAATTCTTGATATCAATTTCAATGTCACAGCTAAAATGAATACGGTAATAAACACAGTAATGCATTTGAAAAATAATAAAATAACTATGAATCAATATACACTACTGTTCAAAAGTCTGGGTTCAGTACGATTTTTTTAAATGAAATTAATACTTTTATTAAGCAAGGAAGCATTTAAATGATCAAAAGTAACAGTAAAGCTATTAATATTGTTTAAAAAATCCATTAAAAATGCTGTTCTTTTGAACTTTCTATTCATCAATGACTAAAAAGTATTAATTATAGTTTCCACAAAAAAATATTAAACAGCACATCTGTTTTCAACACTGCTAATAATAAAAATTTCTTCAACATCAAATCAACATATTAGAATGATTTCTGGTTTATGCCATTTTAGAAAATATATTAAAATATAATTATATATATAATTTTAAATTGTACAAATATTTCACAATTTTATTGTATTTTGGATCAAATAAATGCAGCCTTGGTGGGCATAATAGACATATTTCAAAACATGAAAAAAAAATATTCTCGACCTCATACTATTCAACAGTAGTGTAAATAATATTAATTAAAATGAAAGTACAAAAAAATGGTGCATACTTCAAAACATGAAAAGAATCTTATCGACCCCATACTATTCAACAGTAGTGTAAATAATATTAATTAAAATGAAAGTACAAAAAAATGGTGCATACTTCAAAACATGAAAAGAATCTTATCGACCCCATACTATTCAACAGTAGTGTAAATAATATTAATTAAAATGAAAGTACAAAAAAATGGTGCATACTTCAAAACATGAAAAGAATCTTATCGACCCCATACTATTCAACAGTAGTGTAAATAATATTAATTAAAATGAAAGTACAAAAAAAAAAAAAATGGT